TGTATATGTCTCTCGGTGAACATATGGACACATCTCAGTTGGACATATACCTACAAGGGTACTTGATGAGTCATAGAGGATGCTGTGAATCAGCTTTGCTGAATATCTCAATTTCCAGCAGGCTCCGGCCAGCAGTGTAGGAGTTTGCTGGGTCCTCTTCAGTGTGTGGCATTTTCTCTTTTGTTTTGATAGTTACCATACATTTTGTAAATTTCTATTTTTATTTATAAATACAACCATACTTACTACATTTTCTATTTTGTTTTTATATTTTCATGGGTGTATATTGCGACCTCCTTAGGATTTTGCTTTTCTTTTCTTTTTTTTTTTTTTTAAAGATTTTATTTATTTATTTGACAGAGTTAGCGAGAGCAGGAACACAAGCAGGGGGAGAGGGAGAGGCAGGCTTCCCGCTGAGCAGGCAGCCCGATGCGGGGCTCGATCCCAGGACCCTGGGATCATGACCTGAGCCGAAGGCAGACGCTTAACGACTGAGCCACCCAGGTGCCCCTTGATTTGCTTTTCTTGATGATGAACGAGGTTGAGCACCTTTTGAGCTGTTGTAGTATTGGCCATTTGGGGGTCTTTTTTGTGAATTGTCTGTTCAAGTCTTTTGCCTTTTTTTTTTTCCCTAAGGAGTCACCCATATTTTCCCTACTGACCTACAGGAATTCGTTATTTATACGGCTATGTTTGTCTCTCTAGCCCCAAGCCCAGCACATTGTCCATCTCCTAGTCTGGGTTTAACAGTTCTGTTGTTCAGGTTGCTGTTGAATGAATGAACACGGAAAAGGAGGCGGGGACCCTTGACGAATGAATGAGGCCTTTATGGATCCTTGTCTACATTTTGGTTTATGTAACAACTTTATTGAGGTATAATTTACATACCAAAACCTTTCCTTGTTTTAAGTGTGCAATTCAATGATTTCCCGAGTTGTGCAACCATTACCACAATTAAATTTTAGAGCATTGTCGTCAACCCAAAAAGAAACCTCGGGACCATTTACTTATTCCCTATTCCTACCCCCAACCCCGGGGCAACCGCTAATCTATTTACGGTCTCTCTCTTTTTTTTTTTTAAGATTTTATTTATTTATTTGACAGAGAGAGACACAGCGAGAGAGGGAACACAAGCAGGGGGAGTGGGGGAGGGAGAAGCAGGCTTCCCACGGAGCAGGGAGCCCGATGCAGGGCTCGATCCCAGGACCCCGGGATCACCACCTGAGCCCAAGGCAGACGCTTAACGACTGAGCCACCCAGGTGTCCCCTATTTACCGTCTCTTATAGATTTGCTTTTTCTGGGATTTTCTTCTAAATGCAATCATACATTATGGAACTTTTTTTTAATTAATTAATTTATTTTTGGTAATCTCTATACCCAATGTGGGGCTTGAACTCACGCCCTGAGATCAAGCGCTGCATGCTTTTCTGACTGAGCCAGCCGGGTGCCCCACAATATGTAGCCTTTTGTATCTGGCATTTTTCACTTTGTGTAATGTCGTTGTGGTTCCTGCATGTTGTAGCCTGTGTTAGGACTCTGGTCCTTTCTTGGCCGAGTGAATATTCCATTGTATGGGGGCGCCTGGGTGGCTCAGTCGGTGAAGCGTCTGCCTTCGGCTCAGGTCATGATCTCAGGATCCTGGGATCGAGCCCCACCTTGGGCTCCCTGCTCAGCGGGGAGTCTGTCTCTCCCTCTCCCTCTCCCCTTCCACCCTGCTCATGCTCTCGCTCTCAAATAAAAAAATGAAATCTTAAAAAAAAGAATATTCTACTGTATGGGTCTACCACGTCTTGTCGATCTATTCATCAATTGATGGATAGTTGCGTTATTTCCATGTTTTGGCTATTCTAAATAGTGAACACTGCAAGTTTTTGTGTGGCCGTTTGTTTTCATTTCTCTTAGGTAGATACCTAGGAGGGAATTGCTGGGGTCATATGGCAAATTTGTGTTTAACTTTTTTAAGAAACGGAAACCCTGATATTTCTCTGCCATCCATAGGCTGATGATGGAAAGGCATCGAAGACTGTCTTGGATAGAAAAATCCCCACCAGCCCATAGTTATCAAATAAATGCACAGTGTCGAGAGAAAGCTAAGAAAGAGAGACTAAAGCCTGCTTTTAGGAGTTTATAGTCTAATCCAGATGTTCCAACACATGTGTTTATGGAGTAACTTGGCAATATGGGAAGTCTGAAAATGAGCAGGGGTTCAAAACCTGCTCATATTGCAAAATGAATTCAGGAAGTACCAAGTGACTACTTTTTTTTGCAAGACTCAGTGTTGGTCTTTAAGAGGGGAAGATAGGAATTAAAACAAACGTACTTTCCCTCCCCTGAGTTACTAAGAGACTACTCAGTAAAATAAGATTTAGTTTCAAAGAAGTTAAATAAATAAAGATTTCAAATAGAATTTTAAGATAGTAATAGAAGATCAGGGGAGGGACCCCTGGGTGGCTCAATCGGTTAAGCGTCTGACTTTGGCTCAGGTCATGATCCTGGGGTCCTGGGATCGAGTCCCACTTCTCCCTCTGCCTGCCACTCCCCCTGCTTGTGTTCACGCTCTCTCTCTAACAAATAAATAAAATCTTAAAAAAAAAAAAAGATCAGGGGAGGAGGAAGGGAGAGGGATAATAGATGAGAGAGAAACTCATCTTTCCTTCAAGATCCTGTGAGAAAACAGAAACCCAGAGTGTGTTTCTTTAACATTTATGGCATCCCAAAGATAAAAGTTCCCACTTATTATTGCCTTGGAAACCTTAGTTCGAAAAAAGTGTCAGATAATAAACAACCAGGACCATTGGACTAGATCGATAATAACTGCTAATATTTGAGTACTTAATATGCCAGATATTGGCATAGTTTACATTTTTACTTATTTAATCCTCTTAAAAACAATGATACAGACATTCCTACCATCTTCTAATGGTGAGGAAAATGAAGCTCAGAGAGGTTGAGTTAGTTGCCCAAGGGCACACAGCTAGAAAGTGGCAGAGCTGAGGTTTGAGTACAGGGAGGCCAGAGAGGACACACTGAGCTACTGACTGCGTTTAACCATCTCAAGTCCCATATTCCAGCTACTGGATTCTGGTGTTGTCCGAGTTACTTCATGAATAAGAGATCAGGGACAGGAGTTCCCCTGACTGCTAGGCCAGTCAATTCTGCCCAGACTGACCTTAGGTATCAACCAGCGAGCCATTATCAATCTTGGTGCTGCAGAATCATCTGGGGCAGGTCACTTGGAGCTGGAATGTTTGGGATGCCCTGTAGGCTGAGATTTCTCAAAAGCCAAACCGGGTCCCAGGTGGCTAACAGACACCATGGAAGATTCGGAGTTGCAAGAAGGCTCTGGACTGGCTGTCCTAAATTGAGTTGGGCCTTATCATCAGATATGAAACCTGGGGTCAGTCTGCTAACAGTCACATATCCTTCCCGATACAAGGAATTTGAGGCCCTTGTAACTGATTAGGTCAGTTACTTTTAGCGACTGATTCCTATATCAATTTTTTAATTTTAAGATTTTATTTATTTGACAGAGAGAGACACAGCGAGAGAGGGAACACAAGCAGGGGGAGTGGGAGAGGGAGAAGCAGGCTCCCTGCGGAGCACGGAGCCCGATGCGGGACTCGATCCCAGGACCCCGGGATCATGACCTGAGCCGAAGGCAGAAGCCCAACGACTGAGCCACCCAGGTGCCCCCCTATATCAAATTTTGCAGCTCTGCTTTAAGCGACGCCCCGTGGTGATGACTGTGGTCCAGAGTTTGTTTCCCCGTTTCTAGCCAAGCAAGGGTTTGTGCATTTGCAATCGATGGGCTATTATAAGCAATCTGCATTTGTCTGCTTGCCCGTGGCCGGAGGCCAGGCTGAGGCGGTTCAAGGTAAAACGGCTTAAATGCAGACTGGCTCAAGGTGGATTTTCCAAAGCTTGGGTGGGCCAGGGCACCAGCATCTAAAAAAGTTACTCAGGTGATTCTAATGTGCAGCCAGGATTGAAAACCACTGGAAGATCTTAAGGCTCTTGTAGCCCAGCCCACCCTTAAGGCAAGATCTTAAGGCGCTTGTAGCCCAGCCAGACTGGTTTTGTAAGGGAGGTATCCAGGCAAACACCATGAGAGATGAGGCTAGGGGAGGTATTGTAGAGAGTCTGAAGGGCACAGGCTGAGAAGTCTGTACTTAATTTAATAGGCAACAGGGAGCCAAGGAAGATTACTGAGCAGGATCTAAGGGGAGGCCATGTGAAGCACGCAGAGAGATTAAAGGGTCCAGCTATTTACAGCTTAGGAAATAAGACTTGAAGTTTTCCTTTAGAGGAGGCTAACGAAGACATCCACTTTCTTTTACTTCTAAAGCCTCGGTTCAAGGTCGTTTCTTCGGCATCCAGGTCCTCTGGTCCCTGGAGAGCAGGCACCTGTCCAGATGATCTTTGTAGGTACCTGGCTCACGGCATGGAAGGTGTGGCAGCCCCCCACGGTTTGTTGACTGAGTAAATGAGTGCAGACCTCTAGAGCCTGGCCGGCCTGGACTGCAGGAGGACTGGTACCCGGGGGCCGGCCTCCCCTTTGCATGCAAAGCGGTGGGGGCTGTTCCTCCCCCCCCCCCCCCCCCCCCCGCCATTTATCCTCATCGGCCTGCTCCCAACTCCGTCTCCTCCCGCTCGGTCCCTCCAGCGTAACGCACAGCCACCCGGCCTCCCGGCCCTGGCGCCAGGCTTCAAACCTGTCCTTCACCCATTGTTCAGTTTCCGGTGAGTCCAGTTCAACCCCAGGTTCAAGCCCGACAGTGGCGGCCACAGGCACCCACCGGACCCACAAAGCCCGCACAGAAGGGCGTTTCTGTTCCAGCGGCTTTCGGAGGCGGGGGTGTGAGCGCGAGACCCCTCCCCAGCGACCTGCCCCCTCGGCGAGGGAGCGCCCAGCCCTCGGCGGGCGTGGCCGCCCTGGCCCAGCCCCCTCCCGCCCCCTCGCCTCGGCGCGAGTCCCCGCTCGGCCCCCCGGCCGCCCGCCCCGCTCCGCGGACGCCCGGCCGCTCGCTCCCTCGCCGCCGAGCCGGGCCCCCGGCGGGCGATGCGCCGGAGCCCACCTCCCCCGGGAGCTGCGCATTTCCGCGCGCCCGGGCGGCCCCGGCTCCGGCCGGCCCTCGCGGCCGCAGCCCGCGCTCCGCGTCCCCGGGAAGTTGTCTCCGGAGCCCGCGGCGCCTGGGTCTCCTCCCCCTGAGCCCCGCCCCCCAGCCCGGAGCTGGATCTGCGAGCTGCCGGCCCGGGGGCGTCGCCGCTCGCTCCGCGAAGCCTGCGAGCCTCCGCTGCCCTGCGCGGAGCGCGCGTCCCCCGCCTGGCCGGGGACCCCCCGCGCACCCCGAGACGGCGCGCGCCCAGAGCGCGGGAGCCCGGAGCGCCGGGCGCCTGGGGCCCCGCGGAGCCGCTGCCCAGCCCGCGGGGCTCGGCAGGGATGCAGGCTGCGCTGTGAGCCCGGGCGCCAAGGCCATGTCCGGCGCCCGCTGCCGGACCCTGTACCCGTTCTCCGGGGAGCGGCACGGCCAGGGGCTGCGCTTCGCCGCGGGCGAGCTGATCACGCTGCTGCAGGTCCCGGACGGCGGCTGGTGGGAAGGCGAGAAGGAGGACGGGCTCCGCGGCTGGTTCCCGGCGAGCTACGTGCAGTTGCTGGAGGTAAGGGGCGAGCGCCGGGGGCCGGAAGACCCGGGGCTGCGCTGCTCGGCGCGCCCGCGTACCTGTTGCCCGCCCCGGGGGTGCCGGAGCCGCCCCTGTCCCAGGGGCGCCGCGGGGCCGGCGGGGCCCAGCCGCTGCGCGCCCGACCCTGCGGGCGGCGGAGGCAGCGGGCGCCCCTCCGGGCGGGGCAGCGCGGGGATCGCCCCCGGAGCGCCCCCCCGCGCCGGGCCTCCCGAGCACATCGTGGCCGCCCTGAGGACGGAGAACTTGTTGCCTGTGCGAGTTCTGGAGCCGGCGGGCGCGCTCCAGGCGGTGGCACGGGCCGGCCGAGGGCTGAGGAGTCCGGCGCCGAAGATCGGGATTGGAAAAAAAGTGGCATCGATCGGGCCCCGGAGCCCGGAGCCTGCCGACCCGTGGACGGTCGTGCTGCCCCGGCTCAGGCTGCCTGGCCGCCTCGAGCCGCCCACTTGCTGGTCAGCTGAGTCTGGCTGGCCACCAGCCCGAGCCAGGGGTGCCGCAGCGCCCCTCCCCTGGTCCAGCTTCCCCCGGCTAAGGTCCAGAGCCTAAGCGTGGCCTGTTCCTGGGGTTCTGGCCTGCCCCCAGGACTGCACAGGACCTGCTGAGCCAAGTCGGCTGGCTGTTTATTGTCTGGGTGACAGTTGGGAGGCCTCCCTGTCCTCTAATCGCTGAGCTCATGGTCACAGCCGGAGTGGGCTCCGAAGTTTCAAAAGTCCGTGGGGGCGGGGGAGGGTGGAGGAGTGACCTCGTAGGACATCCCCTTTCGTAAAAAGCTGCCCAACCCCAGGATCGTTGTACAGACTTCAATGGGCGGTTTACCCACAACTGTGTTAGCTGTATATCAAACGTTCTGCAGAAACACCTCCCAAATCACCGAGGCTGAATGTATTTATAATTTGACCCCTGACCTACTTCACAAAGAACGGAGTAGCAAGTTTCGAGAGAAATTGCTGGGTGGGACTCAAAGAAAAAAAAAAAAAGGATAGAAAGAAAAAAAGAAGGATAGATGGATGGGGCTAAGTGATTATGGGTGAGTTTGCTGAGAAATATCCTATGGGAATAGTACCAGAATGAGAGCCTGGCCTCCTAGAGGTACAAAATCCCCCCTAAATGGGTTACTAGCATTTGAGCAAAATTTAGGCTGCAAGAGATTTCGTGGCCTGGCAAAAGAGTAGGTTCCAGAACCCTCGTGGTTCTGTGTTTTGAGAAACGTGCGTTCGTCGGACAGGCTCAGGTGGGTCCCTCAGCGTCCCCGGTTCCTTTCCCGGGATTCAGATGTGCAAGAAAGCAAGTGTATCGCTTCTTAGGAGGACCTGCAGCCTCCTGGTTTCTGGCTCAGGAGCCGTGGGAGAGACTCCTGTTTCAGTCTCTGGTGGCCACACTTTTTCCAGGAAATCCTGATGTGGAAATTTGGCAGTTGGCTGTCTGTCCGGTGAGGAGCATCCCTGGCTGGACGCAGCCAGCTGTGTTTTGGGTGGGGGCGAGGCTGGTGGGTTGGTAGGCTGTGTTCGCAAGAGGGGACAGGCTCTGCTTTTTCCTCTGGGAAAGGGAGGGTGAACCAGACCCAGGAGACAAGCAGAGTGATCCTCTGGGACAGTCTTGGGTAGATCAGTCACCGGCCTGTCGCGAGTACAAGCTTAGGAGATCTTTGGTGCTTAGTGAGGGGCTTTCAGACCAACTCCCAAAGGTGATGTGCTCCCGAAGGGCCCATCTGTGGGAGCCCTACCGCTGGGAGGGGCTTCCATTTCTTGAGCACCTACTAGGCGCCGGGTCCCCTGACCGCTCTGTGAAGGGGAAGGCACCATCCCCATCTCCCAGGCAAGCTTGAGAGCTGAAGGCAGTTGCCCCAGGGGTAATGCTTGCATATTGGCTCAGCGGCTCAGATGGCTGAACGTTACCCTCTGTGACTGCATCTGTTTTAAGTACGGCAGCGTGGGCTCAAGTGCTAAAAGGCAAGTGAGGGAAAGGTCTGGATCCTTGTGGCGAAGGGCAGGTGCGGCCCTCCAGGTCAGCGTGCTGGTGACCGAATCCCGAAGGGGAGGCTAGGCTGCACACGGGGGCTGCGTTGAAAGCCCTGCTCCTTCCCACCTGCAGCATCTCTCCTGCTGACCCTGAAGGTTGCTTTCACAGGAAGGCTGCTGGCTTTCCCGCGGGTGGAGGCCGGGCTGGGCCTGAGCCCTGGGACTTTTCAGGGTCAAGGCAGGTGCAGTTTCCAGAGGCAGGATCGGGAGATCGGAGATCAGGCCCTCTGTGTCTGGGAACCTCGTCGGTGAGCAGGCTGGATGCGCAGGCTGAGGGCCGGAGGATATGTGGGTAGGGTCCCTTGGAATGGGGTGAGTCCTCAAAGCCAGACTGGGTCAGGCGACAATGCAGAGCTCCCAAGGGAGTCGCTGGTGGTGGGCTGGCCGGCCAGTTTATGAAATCAGGAGTCTGGAGAAGTTCATCAAGGCCGGGTGTTCATCAAGGCTAGAAGTTGTTGCAGCACCCAGGAAGCTGGACAAGGGGCCTGGATGTGGACAAGCTCATGGGCGGTGGGCCAGCAGGTGCCTGGCCCTGGAGCCTGCTGGGGGCGTGGAGATCAGAAGGCCAGGGGAGCAGTTGGGGAGACAGGTCCCGACAGAATGGACAGCACCAGCCTCCTGGGGGAGGAGTGCGATGGTGGGGGGCACAGCTGGGTGCTGCGGACCTTTGGCTCCCTGGTGGAAAGAGTGATACCGAGAAGCCCCATCTCGGCGGAAGGGTGCTACCGGTCGAGAGCAGGGTATGCAAAATGGATACTCCCTGAGGATTTCTTTCTCGTTCGTATGAAGAAAGGGGAACTGAGAGGCCCTGGCTTTGCCAGAAGCATACCCCACGGAGGGGAGCTGGGAGCTAACTCTTGACAGGGCTGAGAGGTCTGCCTTGGAGGCCAGCCAACCCCCGGGGAGGGGCCGGCTCGGGGAGATTCTGGTTCTGGCTCCCTGGGGGGGAATCTGTTGGGTCAGGCCTCCAAGGAAATGGTAGAAGGGTACAGCATATCCTTGGCTTCCAGAAAGCGGCTTCCAGGAAATCGTGAGCCCAAGGGGGAGAAGGGGGGGTGGAACCCTGGTGGGGCCAAGGCCTGGCCGCAAGGGTCTGGGCTCCTCAGGGGATGGTGGAGCTTCCCAGAGGAGGAGAGCAGCACCAGGAGGAGGGAACCCCATGGCTGGGCAGGTCTGCTGGGTGGAGGGCCAGGAATTCCCGGTGAGCTGCTCTTAACCTTGAATGGAGAAAAGAAATTTGGGACCTGGAAGATACTGGAAGGCATCCGCAGAACCCCCCCCCCCCCCCGCCCCGAGCTTTTGGGAAATAATAATTCTGGGGGTAAATAAGATTGGAATGCAAACACAACAGAGCTTTCCTTGACTTAGGTGCTGTTCTTAGAAGCCACCATCTGGCTGTGGGGTGTAGACCTCAGAGGCGCTAACAGTGGGACCCTGTTTGCCAGCAGAACTGGGAGGCTGCAGGGGGTCACCCTTGAACCCGGTCTCCTTCTCTCCACCTTCTGTTCTCCCATTTTGGGTTCACGTGATGTGCTGCCGGAACCTTCAAGGTGTGGCTGTGAGAGAGAGTTGCGGAGCTGGGGAGCTGGGCTGGGCTGTGGATTATTGAGGAACGATGTTTCATCTATTCCTGTGGAACAGGCCACCCCAAGACTCCGTGTTGCAAAACACCCATTTCCTATTACCTCACACGTCGCTGTGGGTCGACGGGCTCCGCTGGGTGGTTCTTCTGTTGGTCTGTCTCGGCGTCTGTCATGCATTTGCAGTCAGATGATGGCGGGGGCTGGGGTCCCCGAGGCAGAGCTGGCCTGCAATTCCAAAATGGTGTCTTCACTCCCATGTCTGGTGCCTTGGTGTTCTTCCAAGGGGGGGGCCTTTCTCTCTGCATGGCGTCTTATATCCTCCAGGGCCCTTCCACGTGGCCTTCCTCTTTAGCAGGGAGTTTGAGATTTTCCACAGTGGCTGGCTTCCAGGAATGCAAAGTGCAAATTGCCAGGCCTCCTTGAGGCTTGGGCTCAGAATTGGCACATCCCTTCTGGCCCATTTTATTGGCAAAGTGAGTCACAAGACCAGTTGGGATTCTGTGTGGGAGGAAGGTGCCTACAGGTGTGGATACAGGTGTGGAAACAGGTGCATCGCGGGCCCTTTTGCAGAAGGGTAGGCAGAACACATCTGGGACAGGGATCCATTAGAGAGGAAATGGTGTTACCCCAGACTGACGAGAGAGAGAGAGACAGCCCCCAGAGGGAGGTAAAGTGCAGGGGACTTGGCTGTTGTTCTGCTAGAAAATTCTCCATTGCCATCCTCAGAGGAGATTCTCTCTTTCTCTCTCTCTTTTTAAGATGCCGGGGATTTCTTCATAAAGGCCACCTGATCAATGTTGCAGCCAATTTTGAAACCAGATTTTCCTGTCCCTAAAGCCTGGGTCTGTCCACTGGGCCATTGGCATGGCAGGCCAGCCTTTTTGGGTGGGTGGTGGGGGTGGGGGGGCTCTTTGGTGCTGGTGATGAATAGACACAGTGTATCCGAGCTGCCTGACACCTAGTAGCTGCTTGCTACGTTGCCCAAATTGATTTTAATCCCGGACTTTTCAGTTCTGGAACGTGAGAATTACCTAAGGTGGGTGTGACCTTGTCCCTCACAGCAGGATTTTTCTTTAAGGCAGTTTTCAGCTCTGTTCACAAAGCGGTAACGAGGGAGGGCTGGGGGCGCCCAGAGGATGTGACCGTGACCGAAGAGACCCAACAGGCTTTCTGCCATCGCCACTAAGTCATTGTGCCCTTTGATTTGGGGGCCGCGGCCCCCAACAGCTCCTGCTATTTGAAAATCTACCTTCAGCTCACCCCTCTGCCCGCCTCCGCTCGGGAGAGCCTCCCCCTGTCGGCTGCTGTGCCCATCTCTGGTCAAGTGGCCACTCCCCAGGACTTCAAAGCGGTGGGCAGGGCTTACGGATTCTATGGA